CATAGTTTATGCCAAATCGATGTAAACAAATTGTATGTCCGATTTTTATTATGTTTAGGTCAGCTAGATCATCGTCTAGCCGTCTAGGCTACCACTCAATTTATTTTTTATTGTTTATTATTTTTATTTCTTTTTAATAATATTTTTACTATTTATTTGATCAAAAATTTTGTCAACGTAACTTATATTTATAATTTTAATGAAAATTATACCATATTAAGTGTATATATTTTATTTGTGTGTTTATACGATTCTAAACATGAATTTTTTTTAATGTTATATACGATTGAAGTTTAACATGTTTTATAATATATTAAACAATCTAAAAATTTGCATTGAATATTTTTTATTTAATTCTTAATTTTTTCTTTAGTCACTACACCCAACCCGATCGCTGGACTTTTATCTAAGGTATTTCCAAACAAAGGTATATTTTAACATACTATATGTTTGGATTTAACATAGTGTGTATATTAAAGTATATCTCATTGGATTAATTTATATATAGTTTATACGAGTAGGAGAAAGATATAACATCATGGTAAGCTAAGAAAATTTATTTTGAGTCTATGGTATGAAATATCACGTATCAATAAAGTTAGATCCAAAATAATGTTTTTGTTATAATAAGAGTGATGTTTTAATAGTATAGAAACCATGTAAAGGTTTAAATAATTCGAATTACACGAGTCAAATTCTGGTGTTTACTACATCTGTCTCATGGTTTTGAACAAATAAAGAGAAAATAGAAAGTTTTATCTTAAATTAACCTAAACACTAGATCTCGACCCGCACAACCGTGCGGGTATATTAATACGAAAATATTTGAAATTATATAATATCCACTTCGTTTTAAATAGATGATGACTTAAAAGATTTATTTTATTTCAAAATATAAGATGTTTTGAGATTTTAAGGTATAATTTGAGGTTTTAAAGTTATCTTTAACTTTATTGGAAATTGTTCAACCGATAAAATTTTACTCTTTTTAATATTTGGTTGAATGTTTATAAAATTATATCTTTAAAAATATTTTCGTAAAAGAATGTAAGTTTCTTATTTTTTTGTGCAATGATCCAAAACATCATATATTAAGAAACAGAAGGAGTAAGATTTATCAATAAATAAATATAATTTGATTGTATATACTATCCAATTTTATAATAATATGTATGTGGCTTATAATATTATTAATTTAAAATTTATAAATTTTTATTTTTGTAACAATTTTTTAAAACATTATTATGTAACATTACTAATTTATATATTTTGTTTTATTTCTAAATTTTAAATATATATAAAAAGTAAATTAAATTGGACCTACATAATACATAAACAAATTTTTGGGATATTGTTAAAAGTATATTACATAATTTTAATTTTTTTCTTAATAAATAAAAAATGAATTAAAATTTTAATTATATTCTATGATAATTAAATTTTTAATCAAATAATTTTTGAAACTATATCTTGAAAAGATTCTATAAGATTTTTAAAAGATTTTGTTAGAATTTTCTTAAAATTATTTATTTGTATTTCAAATAAAAATGAAAGATATGAAAAGATATTATAATGATGTTATGTAAAATTTCATAAATTTTTTAAAGAAAGTCCAAACAAAAAAATCATACATGAAGTGAGTCATGACTTTTGTTTTAATATAATAGATGCGCTCTTTTTGTTTTCAAACAATCCTTTGTGGATTGGAAACTTTGTAGGTGTTTAAGTTTTAACGAAAGAAGTGGTTAAAACTGTATCTTTTTGTTTGAATGCAAGATCTGGTGTTTCTTAACGAAATTCAACCGGTTGAAAAGGAAGTGTTACATCTCACTGGCTTAATTTATTTGAAAGGATATTTATGCCTTCACAACATCGATTATAGATTTTATTTTAAAAAATTAATCCCCTATATATTAATTGAGAAACATTTGAAAAATTGTAACCTCAATTTTGTAATAATTAAAAAAGAATACATGCTTACGTGTCACTCAATTAAGTAGTCAATTACATTCAATTGAAAAATAAGTAGGTCCACATTTTTATATGTCGCTAGATATATTTGTTGGTCAAACTATATGATATAATATGATATGATATTTATGATAGAAGCATTTATGATTGTCCTGCTAGATATAATTACTATTTTATTTTTTTCCTTAAATAAAAGCTCTGGAATTACCATATATGACAAATATATATATATGACAATTAATGTTTCTAATCCCCTTATATATTAAAAGAGAAGTCAATTTAATGAATTTTGCTTACGTGTCATTCATAGGTGCAATGTATAATTAATTCTCTTAATTTGATTGGTTGTTGGTATTTGAATTTTTATTTATTTAATTAAAGTTTTTTAAAAGGAAACTAATCCTAGAATTACCTAATCTAAACCCCCTATATATTAAAAGAGAAGTCACTTTAATGAATTTTGCTTACGTGTCATTCATAGATGCAATGTATAATTAATTCTCTTAATTTGATTGGTTGTTGGTATTTGAATTTTTATTTATTTCATTAAATTTTTTTTAAAGGAAACTAATTCTAGAATTACCTAATCTAATATATATTACCAAACAAACAATTAACCATCTTAAATACATAGGATTAATAGAATTTGTTTATAGAAACAATTAAATATCACATATTCCATTATAAAAAAGTTATAAGAAAATTTATATGATAACAAAGTTATAACAAAATTTATACAACTAGAAACATGTTATATTGATATATTAAAACTGTTGAATCTCATGTTTATATTAATCTATGTCAAAAATAATGACATCACATCATTTAAGAATTAAGATATTTTATGTTATATAATTATTTAATCAAATTTACTTTTTTGAAATACAGTTATTTAGATTTACTTAAAATATGTATGTAATTAAGTAATTAAAAAACAAAATTAATAATAAAATATTTATTTTTTCAATGAAAATATTGGTCAAAGGAATCAATGTTTGATAAGATAGAGTGAAGATTGGAGAGATTTTGATAATGAATTTATTTGTTTAGTCAATTGTGATTTTATATTAAATTCAAAATAAATAAAAAATATGTAAGAAAGGGAGAAAGAGAGGGAGATATGGTGATGATAAGGATTAGAGAGTCGGTTATGATCATAATAAAAATGAAAAAGAATATAAGTGAGAGACTGAATATAAGTGAGATAGATTCTAAAATCATTTATTAATACTATGTCAAAGTGTTTAGAAGATTTAACAAAATCTGGTGAAAATTTTGCAACCAAAAAGAGATAGAAAGAGTTTTAAAATGAAATATTGAGGATCATATTAAGGACGAGGGTAAGAGAATGAATATAGGTGATTGTGAGAGAGTGAATGTAAGTTTGAGAGATTTTGAGATTATTTGATCAACTATGAGAGAGAGAGAAAGAAAAAGAGAGTGAGAGAGGTGTACAAAGACATACAAAAATAATGCAAAGAGGGATTCATAAGAAACAAAACGAATGTGTGAAAAAATACAAGGAGAAACGAAATGAGTAAAGTAGAAAAATATATTAAAAAAACAGAGTATCTATGTAAAAGAGAAAGAAAATTACAATATATTTATACATTTATATTATTTTTTATTTATGCAATGTATAGATTATATTAATGTCCGCACAGGCGTGCGGACCGTCCACCTAGTAATAAATATTTGATAACAATTTGTATCTCCTCCATCATTTTCTTTAATTTTATATTATTAAAATAAATCAAACAATCAAATTAGCTATAAAATTAAACTTTAGATTTTTTCGTATATGTTATATTTTGAATTCAAAAAACCAAGAATAAATGACTAAAACTATTAAAATTATTATGTTAAAAATTAATGATCAGTAGTTTAACATTTTTATTATAAAAAGATACACATGATTTTAAAACCATATGAGTAAAAAGTATCATTCAATAATAAATATATATATATATATAGATTAAACTATATACCATATAAGATTACATACTTATTTTAATTTCAAAATTTTCAATGAATTTTCAAGAACATTTATAAATTATAAACGTATTAAATTTTTCACATTGAAATTTTTTGTTATCAATGATTTAAATATATTAGTTCTTTTTTTTTTAATTTTCTATTTTTTAAAGATATTAAAACAATTGATAATATGGTTATTTTTGGTATATACCATACAAACCGAATGTATGTTGTTTTATAAAAACCGTAAGATTTGGATATGGTTTGATTTATAATCGATTAAACTAAAACATGTAAATATGTATATCTATTTGTTACATGAGTTGAACTATAGTTATGATTTGTAAATCACTTGAATCACTTGAAATATAATTAACTAACAATTTAATGCAACTAGCTTCTTATTTTTTTCGTCTTTTTTTATCTTTTTTTTATTTTTTTAATAATAACTAAATTGAATTAAAAATTATAAATTTGATGGACAACAATTAGTTGAAATTCTTTACAATTTTTTTAATCTTTAAACAAACAGAGTTGTGTTCAACCGAAGACATATTAATTTGATGAACACTAAATATGAAAGAATATAAAAAAATTTCTTTCATGCTTCTGTTTTGTTTTTTATTTTTATTTTCAAAATTTAGAGATTTGATATTAATTCTAGATTTGATCATTTTATCAGATCATAGAAGTCTTTTTTGTTTTTTATTCTTTTAGTTAAATATATAATATTTTTTTTAGTGAATGACTTTTTGACAATATGACTCTAAATATGCTCATATTATTTATTTTTATAATATATAATATGATTTCAAACTAAATAATGATGTATTTTGGTATAAAATTAAATAAACTGAAAACCAATATATAAACCAAATCAAACTGAAGTAAATATGGATTTAGAATAGTAATTATATTTTAATAACCAATATACTGAAACCCGATATCCAGATTGAACATCCTTAATCTAGATGAAACCGAACTTTTGTTTCATTTTCCAAAACATAATAAAAATAATAACTTCATTCCGCGCAAGGCGCGGATCTTATCCTAGTTTATTTGAAAGGATATTTATGCCTTGACAACATCGATTATAGATTTTATTTTAAAAAACATCGGCTATAGATTATGTGCATTACATACCAAATAACCTAGAAACAGAGCAAGAAGTGTTATGAAGCAGAAGAGAAGAAGAGAAAGAAAACTTGGAAGCTTTAAGATCAAACTCCACCAAATTATCCTCCATCTGAAAACCTCCTATCAAAATCGGATTCTTCGGGTACAAACCTCCGTCCACAAACCCTAAACAAACCACATCTTTATTAACCTTCACCAGAGAATTCGAACCATGGATCCTCCACTTAGCCCCTCCACTCATCACCAGGTCTATCACTGGAACTCCACGCCTTCCATTGGAGTGGAAGCACTCACTGAAAGGCTTCACCGTAGGAGCTTTAGCCATCTTTACACTTCCAACAAAGGCTGTGACCAGAGCCTTGTAAATTGAACTTTGCAATACGGTGTAAGGAGCCAAAGTGCAGATCTTTGTCGGTCCACCGAGTATAGGAACAGTCTTTCCACTGACTTGGATGGACTTCACATCGATTAAGTATTCACTTTTGTTATTACCGATCAGAGCCGTGGAGGCAAAGATCTTAGATGCATCTTTAAGGTAAGGGAGATAGAAAAAAGGACCTCCACCGATCCAAAAATCACCATTGTGATAAGACTTCATACCTTCCGTGGAAGGCAAGCAAAGAGACATCTTCAGAGGAAGATTGTACATAGAGACAAGCTGCGAGGGAATCGATAAGTGGTTGTTAGCTAGACCGATGGATCCACCAAAAGCCTTAGGGATAGGTTTCAAGGCAGTAGCATCGTCAGTGCAAGTCAGAGTCAACGTAGAGATCTTTTCACCGTCCATGGAGTATACTCCATTAGGTGTGTATAGTAAGCCAAAAGTGTCTCGGAGGAGCCTAGCATTGACTGGTCGATCCGAAAACGATGTTGAGACGTATTTATGACACATGGGCTTCTTGGTGGTGTTCTTGGGACATGAAAAATTAGGGTTTGCGAATTTGCATCTTGTGGAGCCGCATTTTATGGAGTGGTAGGAGGTGGATTTAGCGGCGGTGGCGCAGTTTAGTAGTAACGGCGCGGCTCCGTTGAGGTCAATGAGGAAGTTCCGGCTGCGGATATCCGAGCCGACGGTCAAAGGCAAGGAGTAGAGATTTGTGGCCTTGTCTTTGTAAATAGGGTGCAGAAATGCTTGAACCTTTGGGTGGTAAGACTGTGATGTATTTGCTAGGTAGAGAAGGATGAGTGAAAGCAGTGAGAAGATCACACGATGAGCCATTTTTTATGCTTGGACTCCGTTACTTGGAGATATGATGGTGTGATGTGAGTTACTATAAACTAAGCATCATGTATATATTTTATAAAATGAAATTACAATAACATGGTCCCTCTTCATTTCGTTTTCCAATTTAGATTTAACAAATCCCGTTATTTTTGACACTTGAAGCATCTTACCATGTGGTCTCATTTAGTATCATATCAGAGTTTTTTTTTATATAAAAAGTTTCTTATAAATAAAATACTTTTCATCGAGATTCACAATTTTGGAGATTACTATATTTGAATATAAATTGTAATTTTGATAGTGGAAAAAGTTTGACCAAATATGATATGTAATCAAGTGAAAAGAGAGTTGTACTCATTCTACTCTTAGAAAGAGAAGTATAGATAAGATATTGTGGATTATCCCTTTCCACAAAACCTTGTATTATGGATTATTTGTATAAATAAAGTATATTATTGGGATTGTGGGAATAAAAATAAAGATGCTCTTTCCATTCCATTAAGATAAATTTTTTTTAGAAAATAAAAAATTTCAGATAGATAAATGTTACATGTTTCTTATGTAGAAATTGTAAATTCTAAAAATATATTGAATAGCTATCAATTAAAAATTATTAGAAATTGATAATTAAAAATTAATATATTTTTAATATAATTTTAGTGTTTTCTAAATGTGTGGATATAATTGATTTTTAAAGAACGAATGTAATACTACTTTAACACACTTTTCTAATAAAATTCTCTGAAAGTAGCATTCCGACATAGTACTTCAAATAATTATATGACTACAAGCTGGGATGTATCGCGTGTGAGACAAGTTTTCATGATCATGATGCCGATATCATCCTTCGTCTGAAGCCAAAAGGTAACCAAAATGATGGATTCAAATGGGGTTACACTAAAGACAGTGTATACACTTCGAGAAGCGGGTATAAGTTCCAAGATCTTTTTCAGAAGGAGATTGAACCATCACAGCCAGCACTACCCCCGTTGGAGAAAAAACTGTGGAGCTCTTTGTGGAAAATTAAAACACCTCCCAAAATAAAACATTTTCTGTGGAAAGCTCTTTCAGGAGCTTTAGCGGTATGGAAAGGCTACGGAGCAGAGATATACAAGTAGACACAACCTGTAGAGTTTGTAACGGTGGGAATGAGTTGATCTGACATTTCTTTTCACGTGCCCCATGGCTAAAGATACTTGGGATAGAGCATCCATTAAGTTACCGACTACATGATTCTCTACCAATTCGGTTTTTCTCAATATTTTCATCTGTTGGAGCAGTGTAGGAAATCTCCTAAAAACTTGAATGTGGCTTCCCTAGGATTCTCTGGCACTTATGGAAGGCAAGAAATGAGTTGGCCTTTGAGAAGATTCAGTATTCTTCACTATCGGTTATCACAAGAGCTAAAGAGGAAGCAAGCGTATGGTTTGAGGTCAATCTTCATGGGAAGGAAGAAGCACATCAGGTTCCTGTAAATCAAGGAAATGTTGCTTAGCCACCACCAGGTTACCTTAAATGCAATATAAGAGTTCCATGGATAAGTAAGAATGTCAACTGCGGAGTTGCTTGGATTCTACGTGATGACAGAGGAAAAACTATCCTTCACAGTCGTGCTTTCTTTAATGTTTTGATAAAAAAGAAAGCTGAATTTCTGGCTTTTCAGTGGGCAGTTAGGGACATGGTAAACATTCGCCAGCGGAGGATCATCTTTGAATCCACATGTGACCAGGCGAGAGACACATTCCTGAACCAAACAACATTTGTGGAGTTTTGTCCTATTATCACGGATACACTCTTGCATCTTAGTTTCTTACAAGATTGGAGTTTTCATCACTGTGTCCTAAGGAAGAATTTTATTGTTCAGGAGATAGCTGTGAGTGTTACTGCAGAACAGCGTTATCAATCTAATACTGGAGGCCTGTCATGGTTGCTAAAACGGATTGATAGTGAAGCAGTGGCATAGACGTTTGAAAATGCTCGGTTTCCTGCTTTTGTATGTTTTATTGGTTAGGTGTCTACTGACATCATCAACGTCGTTTTTTTCTGAACGATCTCATTTTGTTGCCTTTGTTGAGAGGTGTCCATCCTATAACCCTCTGGAGTGTGTATTTGCATGAACCACTTTTGGTTCTCTTTGAAGTTAATTCAATTAGTGTTAAAAAAAATTATGTGACTATATTTTTTTTAGTTTTTGTAACTAGATTAATTGATGGTTAGACGAGTTGATTCTTGACCATTTTTTTCTGGTTGGTTTGATCTATATGGAAAAAATATAAACTCTGGTAGTTGCCTCTTTTGCTAACGCGTCTGTCCGAATATTTCTATTCCGGAGAATATGTGACAGACTTATATCCTTGAAATTTTCTTGTAATTTCTGAAACACCTCGATCTCTGTCATGAATATTGACCAATTCATCGGATTTGTAGTCATGTCCACTTCTGAACAGTCCGTCTCGAACTGTATCAAAGTTACCCTCTTGTCGCTCATACATGAGGTTATCCAAAGTAAACATTTCATCTTAGCATGCAAAGTTTGAGAGACTCCTGTTGCACACCTGTTATCTGAAATATTTAGAATATATTTGATTCTTAAGACTCCACCATAAACCATTAACATTGACATTATCAATCTATGATACATCAGTTTGACAGGTGGAGATTTAGAGTATCTAAGAAGACACTATCTCAACCTCTGTAATAGAAAAGTTGTCATGACTCTTATTTACTTTTTCCTTTTCGTTAACCTTCTTCTAAAATTCTGCAACAAAAGATGTGTTGCGTAGAATATCAATTTGGAATACAACTTTTCTATTAGAAAATTTGTTATTTTCCACCTTTCAGATATACAAAAAGATTCATGGAAAAATATTGAATTGTGATCTCGTTAAAACTCTTCTTTTTGCTAAATAATATATAATGATTATCCAGTTGTAACACCTCATGCAACACTTGTCTCACTCTTACTTCATCCTCATCACTAACATATGTCATTGTTGTGTTTAAGGAAAGATGAGTAAGCTGCAAATCTAGTGCTATAAATAGCAATGTGTTTGTACGATAGTGAAATCAATAATAATCAGAACATCTTTGATCTCTCTCTCAATACTGTCTTATTTCTTTCTCGATATTTATTTACTTTACAAAATATTCCTTCACCAATAATAAATCTACGACACGTTATCAGCACGAAGCTCTAATCATATATCAAACAAGGTTATACCGGTGAGGTAATGTTTAATTTATGTATTTCAATAATTTTTATTATTGTAATTTTATTATTGTTTCGGAGTAAGAGGCTAGGCCTTCTCCGTTTATTTTTGGGATGATAGGTGTTGCCTTCCCCGACTGATCGATAAGATGGCTATGCCGTCACGATCAGAGAAACACGTGATAGGCTTTGCCTCTGTGAATAAAAAGATCAAAATGGATGACTATGTCACCTCGGATCTTTAATAAAAATGAAAGGTCAAAAATGGTAGACTAAGTCTCCTCGGACCTTGAATAAAAAGTAAAGGTTAACATGGCAGACTATGTCTCCTCAAACCTTGATAAAAGTGATCAACATGGTAGACTATGTCTCCTCAGATCATTTGGAAGGTTAAGCCTCCAATTTTATTTATGCTTTTAAATTTCTGCGATTTAAATTTCTGCGATTTAATTTATGCCTTTATTTTATGCCTTTAATTTCTGTATTTAAATTATGCATTTAAAATCTCGTCTTTATTATATTTTTAAATTATTATTCTATTAATACAGTTATCATGTCGAATCTGACAAAGCTCGAAATAAATGCCCTGGATATTACGGGAAATAATTATATGACATGGGCAGTGGGTGCAAAGATGCACCTGAGAGGAAACGGGCTTTTGGAAACCATCGATAATACAAAAACGGTGTCGGATGAGAAAAAGGCTAAAGCCATGATATTTTTACGACACCACATACATGATGGTTTAAAAGATGAATATATTACGAAAGAGGAACCTTTGGACCTCTGGCAATCTTTAAAAGAGAGGTTCGATCACCAGAAATATGTGATCTTACCGAAAGCTAAACACGAGTGGATCCATCTCCGGTTCCAGGACTATAAAAGTGTTAGTGAGTTTAATTCCGCTATGTTCGGAATTACATCTAGGATGATGTTATGTGGAGAGAAAATAAGTGATTATGATATGATTGAGAAAACTCTCTCCACGTTCCATCCTGGAAATATAGTCCTGCAGCAACAATACCGGGCGAGTGGATATACCCGTTACTCGGAGTTGATGAAAGTCCTCCTTGTAGCGGAGGAGAATAATCAACTCGTGACTTTAAACCATCAGGCGTCCCACTGGATCTGCTCCATTCCCTGAAGCGAATGTTGCATCATCCAGTTATGATAATTCGAGAGGACGAGGTCGTGGACGCGGTCAAAACCGTTATCATGGTCGTGGAAGAGGACGAGGAAGAAGATTCCGTCCATATGATAAAGGAAATAATAAAGATTTCCTCGAAAATGAAAAAGGTGAAAGGGGCCAGGATGATAAAAAGCAAATAGGAGTTTGCTACAGATGCGGTATGAAAGGGCATTGGGCACATGTTTGCCGTACGCCAATACATTTAGCCAATCTGTATAAAGAATCCCAAAATAGAAAGGGAAAGAGAAAGAGAAACAATATCTGGTAATGCAAAGATTATAATGGGCTCTGGAAGAGTGAAATTTTCAATGCCAAGGGGGACGATATTTGAAATAAGTAATGCATTATACTCCCCCGAGTCTAATAGAAACTTGTTAAGTTTCAACGATATCCGAAGAAATGGATACCATATTTAGATTATGTGTAAAGATGGCATTGAATTTCTTTGCATTAAGTCCGAGGGGAAACACATATTAGAAGAGTTAAAAATGTTATCATCTGGACTATATTGTACAAGAATACACATGACTGAGTCCTATGCCGTGGTACACATGAAGTTTACTGATACATTTAAAATCTGGCATGAGAGGCTAGGAC